AGCGGCCACTGCACTGCAGTCTGGGTGACAGAGTGAGACTCCAACTCAAAAAAAAAAACCCAAAAAAACAAGGAAAGCACTTAGCAGAACACCCGGCCCCCAGTCACTCCAGTCACTAGCTTGTTACCGCCATGAAAGGTGTTTCTGAGCTCACAGCAGGATGTGTTGCTTTTGACCCCCTAGTCTCCCCACCCACTCAGGGCACCCACTCATCCATAATGTGAAATCAGAAGGGACCTTCTGGAATGTTGAGTCTGATGGCTTTTAGATGGCACCGTGGTTGTCCTAGAGCCCTATGGACATGCCTCAGGGACCACCTTGGGAAGGGGGGTGGGCGCTAAGCTCCTTCCAGCCCCAAAATGTCTCCCTTTAATCTGCTTTATATGTTGGGCACTCCGTGTTTTGTTTGAGGAAATTGGCTGGAAAAAAATCGGAAAGCATGGGTCAATATTAATCCTCGCTGGGCTTGGTGGCCCAGCCTCTAATCCCAGCACTTTGGGAGGCTGAGGTGAGTGGATTGCTTGAGCCTGAGGGCTCGAGACCAGCCCAGGCAACTTGGTGAGACCTGTCTCTGTAATAAATAAAAAATTAGCCGGATGTGGTCGCGTAGTTCTGGCTACTTGGCTGAGGTGGAAGGATTGCCAGAGCCCAGGAGGTTGACACTGGGGTGGCTATGAGTGTGTCACTGCACTCCAACCTGGGTGATGGAGTGACTCCAACTTAAAAAAAAAAATCCTCTAATTTTACCAATGGGGACATGCAGGCCTCCCTGCAGGTTGGTGACCAGGCCTGGACTAGGGGGTTGGGCCTCCCAGACCAAGGCACTCCAAACATCCCTGTGGACTTGGTCCCTGTCTAAGGGACCAAGGTGTTTCTGAGCCCACAGCAGGATGTGGCCATTGGAAATGCACACAGCTGATCATTCTGGGCATGCTGCCCTCACTGGCCATACCTGTTGGGAGCTGGCCACGGAGGCCCACTGAGTGTTAGGGATCAGGGAGGGCTGTGGACCCCGAGACCACTAGGATGTGTTCGGGAGCCGTTGACCCCATTTTCCTCTTCCTCTTACCACGCAGCACAAGCAACCTAAAGGAACTCTGCTGATCTAAGCTGAAGGCTCTGTGACTGTGACAGGCATGGCTCACTCTAGAAACTCATTGTTCCTGTTTCCCATAAACTGCGGTTTCCGCTTATGTATTAGATATAATTCAAATTCAGGTCACATTTGGGAACCTTTTATACAGTACAAGCTTCTTTATAAGATTTAAAAGTATATTTGTAGAATTAGTATATACTTATGGAGAGCTGTTTTAGATGGTATAGATGATTATCTTTAGATGGTATAGATGATTATCTAGAGTTACCAGAAATGGCCCAGCACAAACCTTGGGCTGGGCCACATTCCTGAGGGCCCAGCGCGTACTTTGGACTGGGCTGCATTCTTTTAGGCCGGCTTTAGCTACAGTTAGTGTAGGGTTTTTCTACCTATTATAGAAATTGAATTTATTTTATTCATAGAAAGTATTGTAGAATAGGTCATGCTAACGTTAGGGAATCATGTTAGTTCAAGCATGATCAATCATGATATTTTGAGGTTTAATAAGAATACAGTTAACTTTAGAAATTACATTGTCTCCATTTTCTACTATTGTGGTTTTGGCCTTAGTACATTTACAGTTTATATCTGGGTTTTATTTTTAGAAGCCTTGTTGCTGATGATCAGTTTTATATATTAGGATCAGGAATTAGAAACTTTCATAGAAATTAGGATAGATATATAGGACTTTAGAATAGCCATTTTGTTAAGAGATTGTAGTCTATTGTTCCAAAAAGTGGCCCACCGTGAACCTTGGACTGGGCCACATCCTGTAGAGCCCAGTGTGATCTTTGGACTGGGCCACATTCTTTAGGAATTGGTTTAAGCTATAATTAAGAGCCTCCGTAGCATTGTGTAAGTAGTATTAGCCTAGAATAGAAAGGTAATAAAATTTAAGTTAGTCATCATGGGTGTTGTGTGCGCATAAGCTTTAGAAGTTATTGATTATCAGAACATCATGATGCTAGTAGGGATTGTTGCACTGCTTTTGAAGAGCATTAACTAGCAAAGGGAACAATAAGACAATCTTGGGGTTTGTCCTTCCTCATACCTGAGAAAACATCTGGTGGGTGGGGGACGTCCCTCCTGCACCTGGCTTTGTGTTTACATGAAAGACTTGTGAGACTGTCTGTGTAAAATTTGGGGATAAATACCTGCTGTAACTTTCAATAAACGGCTTCTGCTCATTTCACTGAACAGTTGTCCACTTTCTTTCTTTCTCTTTCTTCCTCTTTATGTCTATCCCTCCATCTTTCTTTCTTTTACTATCTATCCCTACTACAGAATCGGCTTCTGTGATAGACAGAGTCCAGTCTCTTTCTTTCTCCCCCTTTCTCTTTCTTTCTCTTTATTTCTCCAGAATAATTGCCAACGCTGCCACACCTTCCAAGGGACCTCCTAAATCTCCCCAAAACTTGCAGGGGCTGGCCCCCCGCACATACCCTCTGTGCAGCCCTGTCCCTTCTAGGTGGATCAGAAGCTGCTTGTAGTCCCTCCCTGATGGTCTAGAGAATACGCACTCCTGGGCTGAGCGCCTTGTGAAGCTGAAGGCCAGCCTTAGGGAGCCCTGGTCAGTGGGTGGAGATAGCGGCCTCTCACTAAGGCCGCTTTGACGGTGGAAGCTCCTCCCCATTGGACATCACCCCGGGAGCCATGTCTTGCCTCTCCGGTTCTTCTTGGCCCAGAGGTCTGAGAGGAAGTGAGAAACCCACCCGCTATCACACACCTCTCTGCCTTTCTAGCATGCCGCTTTTTCTCGGGCCACCCCCTCCCCAACACACCCAGCTGTCTGAGCCTCAGCAGTGACTCCTCCCCGGGCTCGAAAGTGAGTCATCATCATCAGCACAACTGTGACATCGCTCATTATAATATAGTAACCGCAACCAAGATTTTTTTTTGAAATGCTTACCATGGGTTAGGTACTGTTATACTTAATTATTGAGCTTAATTCTCACAATAACCCAGCAAAAGAGGAAACATCATGCCCAGTTTAGAGACCAGTCTGTGGAGGATCAGAGAGGTAAAGGAACCTGTCCAAGATCACACGGCTAACAGACGGCAGAGTCAGAATCTGACCCCAAATCTTTGCAGCCCCCCTGTCTAAAACAGCAGACCCGCCTTGCCCTGCCTGAATCTTCCTTATGGTCCATATCACCACCTGGCATTACATGTCACATCTGCATGTGTGTTTATGCTGTCACTCCCGTTAGAATGTAAGCTATGGGTAATGAGGAATTTTTGTCTATTTTCCCCACTGCCCTATCCCCAGGTACAAAACAGTGCCTGGCACTCAGAAAACATCCTTGGGAACTGGGTGTGGTGACTCACACTTGTAATCCCAACACTTTGGGAGGCTGAGGCAGGAGGGCTGCTTGAGCCTGGGCAACATAATGAGACCTCATCTCTACAAGAACATTAAAAAAAAAAACTAGCCAGGCATGGTGGCATTGCGTCTGGGAGGCTGAGGCGAGAGGATCCTTTGAGCTCAGGAGTTTGAGACCAGCCTGGGCCACATAGTGAGACTTTGTCTCTACAAAGAATTTAAAAAATTGCCAAGTGTGGTGGCGCACCTGTAGTCCCAGCTACTTGGGAGGCTGAGTTGGAAAGATGGCCTAAGCCCAGTAGGTCGAGGCTGTAGTGAGCCATGATCATGTCTCTGCACTCCAGCCTGAGCGACAAAACGAGATCCTGACTCAAAAAAAAAAGGAAAACAAAACCCCTGTTGGCTACATGACCAGGTGGCGCCAGCATTCATCTGACTGCCCCCCTACCCGGCCCCTGTGAGTCCAGCTCTCACCCCAGGCGCCCCCAGTCCCCTCCAATGCTGCCCACTGGTGGCTGCTGCTTACTCTGCTGTGGAGAAGGCCAAGGTGAAGTTGTGCCGGCGCTTCGTGGGGTCCAGCTCTGTGTAGTCAAAGGCATCGGGGAAGAACTTGTGAATGAGGGCGCAGAAGGCCATGCCGCTGCTCCAGCTGGAGGAGAAGTTCTGGATGTCCACGTGCTGTGGCCAGAGGGCACAGAGGAGGCCTCGGTGAGCCTGGGTCAGAGGGCCTGGCTTTGGCCCCTTCCCACCCTTGCACCCTTTGGGGCGTGCACCCCTCACACCCTCTCCAGCAGGGCCACCTCAGACCCCAATCTCACCCGCGTGTCCCTGTCCCATGCCCACCTCATAATTCCTTGTCATGGCACGGCACCACTCCAAGAGCATGTTCTTGACCCCGCCAATGGCTGTCCCGGCTGCCTTGGTGTTCCGGAACAGGGCTGTGGGCCCTGAGGCTGCCCTGTGGGGGGTACGAGGCCAGGCCAGAGAGGCAGGCTGCTGTGAGGGGCCCCGCTGGGGGAACCCCTGCCCCCCGATGTCAGTCCTCCTGCCTTGGCACTGCCCCTCGGGTCACCCTCCACCGACCCATGGCTCCTAGGGAAAGCCCGGCCCAGCTCCTCGCCTGTGTCCTACCCGCCGAACTTGTCCACGATGGCTTTGCGGTTCTGTGCACGGGGGCCCCGGGACCGGGGGGGGGCTGACACCCTGCGCTCGGGTGCCTTCTCCTTCTTCTTCTCCCCTGAAGGAGGGGGCTCTGGGGGACTCTGGGGTGCATCGCTGGCTGAAGACCCACTGTGTGGAAAGGGCCAGAAAAGTGTGAGAGAGGCGGGGACCACACTCCAGGACATGAGGAGGGGCCAAGGGGCTGGGGGCGTCACTGCAGTCGAAAGGGGCACTTGTAGTTGTGGCACCTGCACTCGGCATGTGGCCATTCTCTGCCCAGCACTGGGGGGGGGTGGAGGGGGAATGACGAGGCCTAGCCTAACTTTGGGAAGCATGTGGTCTGGTGAGGACTTGTGGACACTGCCAGACACGTCTGAGGTGTGACTTGAGTGTGATCCTGCTGTGTGATCTTGGGACTGTCACATCACTTTTCTGAGCCTCAGCTTTCTCATCTGTAAAATGCGGACAAGAACACCTGCCTGACAAGGTGGTTCTAAGGTGGCCAGTGTCAGAAGGTGAGTGTCTCCCTGCTGTGCCTGGCACACCATGTGTGATGCTCAGTGAATATTCGGTGGCTATCTTTCCCTAAGAAAGGGACAAGGAAGGCCAGGTGTGGTGGCTCATGCCTATAATCCCACTCAGTACTTGAGAGGCTGAGGCGGGAGGATCACTTGAGGCCAGGAGTTCAAGACCAGCCTGGGCTACATAGCAAGACTGTTTCTACTAACAACTTAAAAATTAGCCAGTATGGTGGCACTTGTCTGTAGTCCCAGCTATTCAAGAGGCTGAGGCGGGAGGATCACTTGAGCCCAAAAGTTCAAGGCTGCAGTGAACTATGATTGTGCCACTGCACTCCAGCCGGGGCAACTGAGTAAGACCCTGTCTCTAAAAAAATAAAAAATTTAAATGTGCCAAATGTAGTGGCTCACACCTATAATCTCAGCACTTTGGGAGGCGGAAGCTAGAGGATTGCCTGAGCCCAGGGGTTCAAGATCAACCTGGGCAACTTGGTTAGACCTCATCTCTACAATAAATCAAAAAAAATTAGCCGGGCATGGTAGCACATGCCTGTAATTCCAGCTACTTAGAAGGCTGAAGTGGAAGGATCGCCGGAGCCCAGCAGGTCGAGGCTGCGCTGGCTGTGAGCATGCCACTGCACTCCAGCCTGGTGGACAGAGTGAGACTCCAACTCAAAAAAAAAAAAAAAAAAAGATTTGAAAAACAGAACGGGACTAGGGGGTGGATTTTTGCTCAATATAAAGGTAGACTCTTCCAAGGACTAAAGTTGTGCAATGGCAAATGATGCTGTCATTATATTCAGGCTCAAACTAAATGGCTTTGCACTCGGTAAGTGTAAACTTCACAGTCATCCTACTAGGGGGATGCAGATAAGAAGAGCTTTAGCAGCATGGCCAAGGTCATACAGCTGGTTAGTGGCAGAGCCATTGTTCAAATTCAGGTTCTCTGGCCTTGAGGATGCAGCTGACGCTGTGGTCACATGCTGGGCTGCAAGACAAGACCCTCCTAGTGAGGATCGGGAACAGTGATTTCGGCCATGGCATGGGAGGCGGACCGGGTATTTTCCATGCTCCTTGAGTTTTTTGGGCTGTGCCCTGGGAATCCTGGCATGTCCTGAAATTAGGTGCTTAGGGACGCCCAGACTGAGGTGACGGTGGACTGAAGGGAGCAGAAGGTGGGAGCTGGGCCGGAGCCCCCAAATCTGACAGTACCTGGCTGCAGGGCTGGTCTCTCGGGAGGCTGCAGAGTCTGGACCCAGCCCATCTAGAGGAAAGGAACAGGAGGGAGGCCAGCTGGGCTCTCCATGAGGGGCGCCTTGCACCCCACCCCAGGGCAGTCCCCGCAGCATCTGGGCCCCGGGCTCTCACTCACCTGGGCTGAGGCCCTGGCCCTCCCCTGTGGGGCTCTCAGGCCACGCCTCGGGGGAGCTGGGCACCGCCCCTGCCCCGCCCTCCGGCTCTTTCTCCACCTCCTGCTCCTGTTCTTCACTGGGACTGCCTGGCTCCTGGAAGGGACACGGTCTGTGTGGACTCTAGTTGTCACACAAGCACCTGCCTGGCTTTGTGAGGACTGCGGAAAGATCTGGAAGGCAGCCTGCGGCCACGGTGCTGCGTGCTTGGCTCCCTCCGCCCCGCCCCAGGCTCTGGAGATCAGCGAGAGGAACACGACTTTCCCAAGAGAATAAAGCTGGGGTGGGGGGCTTGCTTCCTCGGGGAGCAGGAGATGTGAGGGAGGGAGCCTTGTCTTCCCTCTCCTCTGCCTCACTCACCGCCTCCTCCTTCGCATCACTTTCGGCCTCCTCTTTCCCATCAGCCTCCTTAGGTGCCGTTTCAGCCTCATCTTTCACCACAGCCTCCTGGGAGTCAGTCTTGGCCTCATCAGCAGCTTTCTCCTTGGGTTCAGTCCTGGGCTCCTCCCTCTTGTCCTTCTCCTCCTGGGAGGCCATCTCGGCTTCCTCCCTGGCTTCCTTCCTGGCTTCCTCCCTGGCTTCCTCCCCACCAGCGTCCTGAGGTTCAGGCTTGTCTTTGTCATTGTTATCAGCTTTCTCCCCAGATTCAGCCTGGGGCTCCTTCTCCTCCGCCTCCAGCGTCTCAGAGCCCAGTGTGCTGTCCTGTTTCTCCTCAACCTCCTCGGGTTCACATCGGGTCTCTTCTTTCCCACCAGGAGTCTCCTGAGAAGCTGCTGTGGTCCCTTCCTTCTCATCCTCCTCCTTTTTAAGTTCAGCCTCGGCTTCCTCTTTCCTACCAGCCTCGGTCTGGGATTCCACCTTGGCCTCATCTAACCCATTTGCCTCACCCTGGAATTCCGCTGCAATGCCATCCTGGGCAGGTGCTTTGTCCTGCTTTCCTGCCCCATCGGGATCGTCCATGGTCTTCCCTGCTGTGCCTTGGGTCTCTTCTGCAGGAGCCCCATCTGCTGGCGACCCAGGGTCCTCTGCGGTTGGGGTGACGGTGGTCCCATCCTCTGAGGGCTTCCCTTCCTTCTGCTCCATCTCTGGAGAGAGAAGACAAGCAGGTCTAGTCATGCCCGGCCCTGCCTGAAGTGAAGACCCTGCCCTCATGGCACTCTGGCCTGGGCATCAGGAGGTTGCTGGTTCAGTGCTGACTCCCCCCACTCCTTGGGCATGGAACCCCAGCATCCACGTTTCCTATGGCAAAATGAAGGGTGGAGAACGGCTTCCCCAAGATGGGGTGGTTGAGCTACATTGGCTTGAAGTTGGATGGCATTCCTCTAACGTCTTCTGTAGGTTCTGGCTTTGGGTTTAAGGGACATTGAATCATGTAATGCCTTTTCAGTGATTTTGGCTCTTTTTCGTTAAGCCAGTGAGATGGTCACAATTTGATACTAGCATCCTGTAACACCAGTGGGACAATTGCCACTCTCTCCCAGAGCCTAAAGCAGGCAGAAGTATCTAGGTAGAATTGAACAACACTATTTTGTTTCCATTGTATTTATTTATTTATTTACTTATTTACTTACTTTTTGAGTTGAAGTGTCACTCTGACACCCAGGCTGGAGTGCAGTGGCACACTCACGGCCACTGCAGCCTCGACCTGTTGGACTCAGGTGATCCACCTCAGCCTTCCAAGTAGCTGGAACTACAGGTGTGTGCCATCACACCTGGTTATTTTTTTTTTTTTTAATTGTAGAGACAAGGTCTCGCCAAGTTGCCCAGACTGGTCTCAAGCCCCTGGGCTCCAGCAATCCTCTTGCCTCCGTCTCCCAAAGTGCTGGGATTACAGACGTGAGCCACCATGCCTGGCCCATTGTATTTATTTGTACAGTTACTTTCTATTTCTGGCAAGTGAGATTAAGATTTCTTTTCTTGGCCGGGCTCGGTGACTCAGCCTGTAATCCCAGTACTTTGGGAGGCCGAGGTGAGTGGATTGCCTGAGTCCGCGGGTTCAAATCTCGCCTGGGCAACTTGGCGAGACCTTATCTCTACAATAAATAAAAAAATCAGCCGGGCGTGGTAGTCCGCGCCTGTAGTTCCAGCTACCTGGAAGGCTGAGGCAGAAGGATCGCCAGATCCCAGCAGGTCGAGGCTGCAGTGGCCGGGAGCAGCCACTGCATTCCAGTCTGGGCGACAGAATGAGACTCCAACTCAAAAAAAAGGAAAAAAAAAAAAAGATTTCTTTTCTTTTAGCCTAGGTCTCACCCTGTCACCCAAGCTGGAATACAGTGGCTCACCACAGTGGCTCACCACAACCTCAAATTTCTGGGCTCAGTCGATTCTCCTGCCTCAGCTTTCTGAATAGTCGGAACTACAGGTGCGCACCACTGCGCCTGTATAATTTTTTTTACTTTTTGTAAAGATGGGTTCTCACTATGTTGCTCGGGCTGGTCTTGAACTCCTAGCCTCAAGGAATCCTCCCACTTCAGCCTCTCAAAGTGTGGTTACAGGTATGAGCCACCATGCCCAGCTTAAGTTCCCACTTCTAACAATGATGTAGTGTCTTTAGAAAATACATTTACTACCTGGGCTCAGTAGCTCAGCCTGTAATCCCATGCCTTGGGAGGCTGAGGTGGGTGGATTGCCTGAGTCCGTGGGTTCGAGACCCGCCTGGGCAACTTGGTGAGACCTCATTTCTACAATAAATTTTAAAAAAATAGCTGGGCGTGGTAGCACACACCTGTAGTTCCAGCTACTTGGAAGGCTGAGGTGGAAGGATTGCCAGAGCCCAGCAGGTCGAGGCTGTGGTGGCCGGGAGCGGCTATTGCTCTCCAGTCTGGGCGACAGAGTGAGACTCCAACTCAAAAAAAAAAAACACACATTTACTGAATTTAAAAATAAGTTACAAGAAGGCATTCAGGAACTTAGAATACAGATAGGGCAGTTGTAGCCAAGTCATAGAGGTGGCATAAAATGCCTGGAATTCGGGAACCCCTGGACCAGCTTGTCTCTGGGCCTTTACCAGCTCTGCCAGCCTGTGGTTCTTGGAAAAGGCAGGCCTGGGCAAGGAAGGGTTTCCTTGGGTGAAGAATAGAAGCAGACCGATACTCCCCCCAGCCTCTGCAGGGCACTGTGAGCCTCTGGTTGCCGCCGGGGAGCGTGGGGGAAATTACGACGCCTTAACTCGGGACTTCCTATTTAAGCACTGTATACACTGGAGGATTCACAAAGACAGGTGGGTGAGGTGACGGTCACCACCTCCATCCTCCTGCCCTTTTGGGGGGTCTAATTACAAAGAAAACAATCCCCAAATAGGGCTCAGGGCATGAGTCAGACAGTAAGAAAAGTGGACACTCCTGTCACCTGCTAAAAATAATTCCTACCCTTGGCAGTGCCGTCTGTCTTAGTGCTATTACCCACCCTGGGTAATTGGGACAGAGGACAATAGGCAGGAAGACAGGCAGAAAGATACAGGGCTCTGTTCCCGCCATTCATTCAGGTCTTACGACCCCCAACACCAGAGTCCTGGAGTTCCTGGACTTAGTGTCCCCACTGCTTCCCTCAAGCAGGCTGGGATTTGCAAGGATGCTCACGCTATCCTCCAATTCCCGCCAGAGCCTTTTCGTGGCTTCGTGGCTCCAGCAATATATTAAAGTAAGAGGGGACACAAACTTGGCGGCGGGGTGTGTGTCAGCAGAGAGCTGGGAGCCGTGGAGTTGGCCTTGACCTTCACCTTCTAGTCTTACTCTGAGACCTGAGCAAATCCCTTTGCTCCTCTGGGCCTCAGTTTCCATGGACAATGACAGGATAAATTTCAATCAGATTTTTCACACTATGTTCTATGGAAAATGAGGCTCTCTCATGACACGAATAGGGGTTTTTGTGGAAGTGGAAGGAAGATACATTCTCTGGCCAAGTTTACTTTATTTATTTATTTTGAGTTGGAGTCTCACGCTGTCGCCCAGGCTGGAGTACAGTGGCACGCTCACGGCCACCCCAGCGTCGACCTGCTGGGCTCCAGCAATTCTTCCACCCCACCCCAGTCTTTCTTTTCTTTTTTTCTTTTTTTTGGGTTGGAGTCTCACTCTGTAGCCCAGACTGGAGTGCAGTGGTCACTCCCGGCCACCGCAGCCTCGACCTTCTGGGCTCCAGCAATCCTTCCGCCTCAGCCTTCCAAGTAGCTGGAACTACAGGCGTGCACTACCACGCCCAGCTAATTTTTGACTTATTATAGAGATGAGGTCTCGCCAAGTTGCCCAGGTGGGTCTCGAACTCACGGGCTCAGGCAATCCACTCACCTCAGCCTCCCAAAGTGCGGGATTACAGGCTGAGCCACCGAGCCTGGCTTACCTCAGCCTTTCAAGTAGCAGGAGCTACAGGCACGTGCTACCACGCCCGACTAATTTTTGATGTATTGTAGAGACGAGGTCTCGCCAAGCTCCCTGGGCTGGTCTTGAACCCGCGGGTTCAGGCAATCCACTCGCCTCGGCTTCCCAAAGTACTGGGATTAAAGGCTGAGCCACTGACCCCGGCCAGGTTTACTTTAAAAACAGACTATTGGCCAGGTGCAATGGCTCACGCTTGTAATCCCAGCACTTTGGGAGTCCAAGACAGGAGACTCAGTTTGATATCAGCCTGGGTAACATAGTGAGAACTCATCTGTACAAAAAACAATAAAATTAACAATTAGCCAGATGTGGTGGCACACACCTGTAATCCCAGCACTTTGGGAGGCTGAGGCAGGAGGATCGCTTGAGATCAGAAGTTTGAGGCTGCAGTGAGCTATGATTGTGCCACTGCATTCCAGTCAGGGCAACAGAGAGAGACTCTGACTCAAAAATAAAAAATAAAAAAAAGCCTACTCCTTACCCTCCTAGAGATATTCAACTTCTTTAATGTTTACATAGATGTAGGATACCACATAATAAAGAAATATTAATTTGCTGAAATCTCATTTTACTCACTTTTCCCTAAGCTTCCTTGGCCATGGATTTTTTTCTCCTTGCTTTTGTTTTTGTTTTTTTTCCCAAGAAACATCTGCTGCCCTTTCAGCAGTCGCATGTTCAGCAGAAGAAAGCATGACCAGTGCTGGTCGGAAGGAGTCATGTGGCCTCTTCCCTGCCTGCCCCCTGTTCTCGTATGAAAGATGGCATGGAGTAGTCTGGACAACCACTGATTCTGGAGCCCTGCCTGCGATGGGATCCGGCTCCCACTGTTTACTAATTATGTGACCTTGGGCAAGCTACCTACCCTGTGTTTGGATTTCTGCAGATAAAAATGGGTCCCACCCTATAGAGATGGTGGAGGGTCAAGGAAGCCCATGCATGGAAAGTATTTGTACACTACAGTGGTATACACCTTTAGTCCCAGCTACATGAGAGGCTGAGGAAGGAGTTCAAGAACAGCCTGGGCAACATAGCAAGACCCTGTCTCTACTAAAAAAAATTAGCTGGGTGTGATGACACACATACCTGTAATCTCAGCTCCTTGGGAGACTAAAGTGGGAGGATCACTTGAGCCCAGGTGGTTGAGGCTGCAGTGAGCTATGATTCTGTCTATGAGCTATGATTGTGCCACTGTACTCCAGCCTGGGCAACGGAGCAAGATCCCATCTCTCTCTTTTTTTTGGAAAGTGAGAAAGCAGGATTTATTGAGAGGACAGAAAGGCTCCCACAGTAGGAGGGGACCCAAAGGGGTTGTCCCAAGATCCCATCTCTTATTTTAAAAAAAGTATTTGGAGGCATGCTTGGCATGGTGGGAGCCTTAGAATTCATCGGCTCGTGTGGTATAGGTTGGCTGTGCCCAGCCTTGTGCCAGGGTGAAGTCCTGACCCAGCCTTGAGGCCGTGTATCAGTGAGACAAGGCAGAGAGCACTGAGTGCCAGGAGCATGATAGCAAGCCCTTTTTATACCTCTAAGTGTGGCAGTATTTGGCTAAGACATAGCTGAGTGTTCCAACCCTCTTTCCCTCCATCTACAAGCCACATACTCAGGGTGGTGGAGGGGAAGGGCTGGTGTGCACACACACACACACACACACACACACACACACACCACACCCATTCTGCATATTCATCACCTCAGCGTTCCACCCTACAG